ACAGAGAACAGCAGGTGATGTGTGGAGTGTGCCCGTGCATGTGAAAACTCTTGGCTTCCTTTACATGCTCAAGGTCTGAAAGATGGAGACCACATGGAGAATGTGTCAGAAAATTCCTCCTTTCACACTCCTCTGACCACACCACAGACAGAGACTCCTCAGAGATGAGAAAAGGCTTGGGTGGGAGCTCATTTCTTCTCCCACTGTGCTTCAACTTCTCTTTCTCAAGGAATTATGGAATGAGAGAGAAAATAGGATTTTTAACATTTGCTGACTATCCACTATGTGCAAGCCTGGTATACATAACAGGTGGCATAACCTCCATTCTTGAGTTGAGGAAACTGGCGATTATATCATGTGCTGGAAGACACATAGCTGGGAATTAGTAGACTCAGGACTTGAGCGAGACTGTCCATCTTCAGAGCCCGTGGTCTTTCCATGACAGCAGCAATGGACAGGTAGGTCCACAATGACCCCTCACATCTACTCTGTGCTATCATGGTTGGCACTCAGAGAATGTTAGGCAGTGAGAACCGCTATGGACAGAATGTCTGTGTTCCTCCAAGTGTCCTATGTTTAAATTGAATCCCCAGTGTGATGGCATTTGAAGGTGGGTCCTTTGGGAAATTGTGATGTCATGAGGGAGAGGGAGCCCTCATGAATGGGATTACTAACCCCAGAAAGACCCCCTCATCCCTTCTGCCAAGTGAGTGTCCAGCAAGAAGACAGCCATCTACAAACCAGGAAGCAGATGGTCACCAAACACCGAACCTACTGCATTCCTGACCTTGGACACCAGAACAGCCTCCAGAACTTGAAGAAATGAATTTCTTTTGTTTATAAACCACCCAGCCTATGTATGGTATTTTGTTATAGCAGCCTGAACCGATTGTGACAAGAATTGAAACTACTAAGGATCATTTTAGCTGGGAAATGCTTGGGCGACTGGGTAGCAAGGTTGGTGTAGTGCAAGTCAGGAGAAAACGCAGAGTCAAAACAGAGGGGTTCCTCTTCCCTCCTACAGAGGGACAAAGAGGATGGAAGAGTTCTGCTTTATGACCAGGCATTTTAAATAGCACACAGATCCTCTGGGAGAGGACGCAGAGCCACGATGTGGGAAGAGGCTCAGGGACTGAGGGGGAAACTGGAAGCTGAGTCTCTTTCCTTTGGTGCCTGAGAAATTTTCCAAGGTGGAATTGGGATTGCAGTGAATGACCTTGAATCAAGGTCCAGGGGCTGTGGGAAAGCCAAAGGAGCCCCTAGGCTATGAACATTTTATTTTTTTAATTTTTTTAAAAAAGAGATGGGCTGTCACTATATTGCCTAGGCTGGTCTCAAACTCTTGGGCTCAAGTGATCCTCCTGCCTCAGCCTCCCAAAGGGCTGGGATTACAAGGGTGAGCCACTGTGCCTGGCCCAACTATGAACATTTTAACTGATAAATTAGAAAATGTCCAAAACACTTAAAATTAGGTAATGATGCCAACAGCCCACCTCACCCGTGCCAGGAGCCTTCGGTCCCCAACCTTTTTGGCACCAGGGACTGGTTTTATAGAAGATAATTTTTCCACAGACCAGCAGGTGGTGGGGTAATTTCAGAGTGAAACTTCCACCTCAGATCATCAGGCATTAGATTCTCATAAAAAGGGTGCAACCTAGACCCCCCTCACGTGCAGTTCACAATAGGGCTCGTGCTCCTATGGGAATCCAATGCCACTGCTGACTGGACAGGAGGCAGAGCTCAGGTGATAATGTTGCTTGCCGCTCACCTCCTGCTGGGTGACCCAGTTCCTAACAGTGCCTGTCTGCAGTGAGGGTTGGGGATCCCTGATGTAAAGCATCTTGCAATGGCCATTGGTTGATCTCCCCCAATCCCTGCCATGGTCCCTCTCTCTCTGCACCTGCTGGCCTCAGTGTGGAGCCTGAGAAACAGCTCCTCTCTCCCTAGCCACCTTCTGTGCACAGATCAACTTCGATCTCCTCAGAGCTGCTTCCCATCAGTCAACCCACCTCCCTTCTCCTATTTCAAAAATGATTCAACATTTTTGTTCTTGCACTTCTTCGGCCTGTTATGGATTTTTTGAAGTTCAGTGACATTTGGGAAGGACAGATAAAAGTGAGCATTCAGTTTGCATCTCAAGTCATGACCTTTGCCTCGTAAACAATCTCTGCTTTCATTTTACTGAAGGAAGCTGGCCAGGTGGGGCCTTCTTCTCCACAGGTGGCTGTGATGTCAGGTGAGCTGCTCAGCCTCTTCTGGCTTACTTCCTGTCCACACAATGAGGGTCCTGGATGAGATTAGCATCCATCAAACCTGTTCCTATAATATACCCCTTCTATTAGGTAAAACTGATGGCAGGATTCCGTTTATAAAACAAGCTAAACCGTATTTTCTTTTTCAGAATATGTACTTAAGTGCTGAAGGGTTACTAAAACATTTTTTAATAAAAGGCCCTGAGGAGAGAATGTGATGGGGCCTCTGGAGTCCACAGCTCCCAGAGTGGCCCAGAGTGGCAGCGCTGGCTGCCCTTAGAGGAGGTGGGCAAATTGCAGATGCACCAAGGAGCTTCCAAGGAAAGGCTGAGGCCTGGCCCTTCCCAGGGGAGATGCAGTGGTCTGGAAACTCATCAGATAGATCAACGGTCTTGGGTTCTGGTGGCAAACACACCTCGGAGGGACCTGAAGGTGTGTTTGGATGAGTGACTGGATTGCAACCATGGGCTGGCCTGGAGGATGGGCCCAACAGGTAGCCCAGGATGGAACCCCTCTGGAAGTGCCCGGGTGGACAGGGTCAGCGGCAGCTACAGGTGAGCATGCGTGGGACCCCACAGGAGAGGCTGCCAATACCACCAATGTGGAGACAGGGCACAGACCTGGAGGACGGAGTGAAGCCCCAGGGTCCGATGGGACAGGAGGGAAGATAATGTTTTCCTGCTAGAATGGGCAGCTCAGACCTCAGTGTTTGAAGGATTTGACTAGAACTGTACTTAGGATCAATGAAAAGGGAGGGGCAGGTTACAGCATTTGAGGATAAACTAATTTTTACCTTATTCAAGGATCAAAGTGAATATCAATGCTTTAAAATACAGTATATAGGCCGGGCGTGGTGGCTCAAGCCTGTAATCCCAGCACTTTGGGAGGCCCAGGCAGGTGGATCACGAGGTCAAGAGATTGAGACCATTCTGGTCAACATGGTGAAACCCTGTCTCTACTAAAAATACAAAAAATTAGCTGGGCATGGTGGTGCGTGCCTGTAATCCCAGCTACTCAGGAGGCTGAGGCAGGAGAATTGCCTGAACCCAGGAGGCGGAGGTTGTGGTGAGTCGAGATCGCGCCATTGCACTCCAGCCTGGGTAAAAAGAGTGAAACTCTGTCTCAAAAAAACAACAAAAAAAAAACCAGTATATAAAGTGTCAGAAAAACACACTAGTTTTTTCTTTTAAAGCATGCTACTTTTTATAATAACAATCGCTGTAGAATCTAGGTAGTGGGTTTATGAGTATTCACTATACTTTTTTTTTTTAGCTTTCCTGTATGCTTTAAACTTTTCAGGGCAAAATGCCTAGATGTGGTCAAAAAGCATTTTATTTTGTAGTTGAGCATTTGAGGAACCCCTGGACGATTGTCAGGAAGCCTTCAGGTTCATGCAGCTTGACTACTGGGCCTCTCCTGGGCCCTCTTGAGCTAGAAAATCTCAACTTCCTAGGAGGTTCCCCAGGCTTTGCCCAGGAGGCCTGTAGCTGAGGTGTTTGAGAAGCTGGTATTTTACATCGACTGTCATATATAGCCTCAAAGCCCCATCAGTGGGGCTGCACCTGTACTCAGTTTTATCATAAAAAATGGGTCGTTTGCAATTGCCTTTTAAAGGTGAAAACAGGTGCAAAATATATTTTAAAAATCCAACAAACTTGTGCCAAGCAGCCAGTGGATTTGTTGCACCCTGCCTGAGACGAGCACTTTGATAAAAGGCCTAGCTGCAACGGTGCGGAATTAGAGTTGAAAGCATTACTGCCCTTTCTTTGTTCTGCCTTTCAGGGCAGCCATCCCCAAACATGGGGTGGGCAGAAGTGGCGTGCTTACTGTCAGCCCTGCCCGCTGCAAGGCAAAGAACTGTATGGCCTACTAATCTGGGGGACCGCTGGATTTAACAGCATTAAGATGCTTCTAAGACTGTTAAACACAGGTGTGCACTGCCAGTCTCCCAGGGATGGACATGATTTTGGTCCCCAAATGCTCTACAGAAGACTTTTAGGGGAGGGACTATACTCTAGGACTAGTGCTTTAAGAAGTTAAAAATCAACCAAGCACCATGGCTCACGCCTGTGATCCCACAGCTGCTGGAAGCGGAGGATCACTTGCGCCTAGAGGTTTGAGGCTGCAGTGAGCTATGACTGAAACACTGCGCTCCAGGCTGGGTGAAGACCCTGTCTCTACAAACAAACAAAAATAGGAAGCAAAGTAGAAAACTCTTCTTTGAAAACATGATTTCAATTAGTGACACATCGCAAATACAGCTTGAGAGGCTGGGGTGGGAGAATCGCTTGAGGTATTTTGAGACCAGCCTGGGCAACATAGTAAGACCCCCATCTCTAAAAATAAAATAAATAGAAAATAAATTACTAAAATGCAGTTTAACTGCAGCAGCTACACCCTTCAGTAGCATCTGAGAGAGATGTATTATTTCTGACCAAGCAGAGCTGTGTTTTAAAATGAAGCCTCCTCCCACCTATGAAAAACATCCCCAGCTGCAGGTAAACTAACAGTATCAACAACTGTACATTATCTTAGCAATGCTTCTGTCTTCCTACCCATCAGGGACAACTGTCTCTGTAGCCTGTATCTTACCCTTTCAAGTACCGTCAAGTTTCTGGTTCTTCAGAGACTGGGCACATCCTCCACCCACCCCACCCTGCTGGACCAAGGATCGGCTGTATGCCCTTCCTCATTAGAACCTTCATCTCCATCCTCTTTCCCACTCCCCCACAAAACAATCAAAGCACATGCCCAAATTCACTTTTATTTTGCACACATAGGAAACAGGATCCTATCAAAAGAGAACAAAAAAGAGAAATAAGCCAATTGTTGCAGAGGAAAAACATGCACAGATCTGCTTCAAGTTTACTCTGAACCACGGGCGTGCCGGGAATTCCACATGCCAGGAGCTGTCTCACTCCAGGAAGTGGACGCGACCCACCACCCACACAATTGAAACAAGAATAGCCAGGAAGTGTCACTGAAGTGGGACTTCCATATGCAGGATCAGCGTTCACAGTAGCACAATTCTAACCAGGTTCAAGGGAAAACAAAATCCGTCTCACACAAACATGGGAATATAAAACTGTTGCGCCCTAACCATCACTCAGTCTCTTAACATCATTTGCTATCAAAAAGATAAACGAAATTGAGTCACGAACCTTTGGGTGCCTATTCAGCTGGACCCGATTCCAGGGGCAGCTTAGTGTGCTTTTTCATTACAAAAAATAAAGGAAGAAACTGACATTAAAAATGCAAAACAAATGAGCTGGAGAAAGAGGAGTGTTTGGACCCACGCAGTTGTCTTGGTTGTAAACAGTGAGCTTGTGCTTTGCTGTCTCATTTAGATGAAGGCCTGCAGCATGGGAGGTCCCGTCCTGGTGGCCAGAGACAATGGTGGCAGCATCTGTGCTTTCAAATGCATTCCCGGGGTGTCTGTTTTGTTCCCAAGTATTTCCCGTGAAATTCCCCAGGAGGTTCTCTGATTCTATGTCCTCAGAGTGAAAAGCATGGACGACGAATCACTCCATAGCCACTTCCGTGGATGTCTTGATGCTCCGATTCAATGAGTAATGATTTCTCAAGAGGCTCTGATTAGTTCATTAAAAAATAAGCACCCCTACCTCATTCCCCATGATACAGCACATCTAGTAATCTAGGCAGCTCAGCTACGCGGCATTGCTCGTCAGCACACAGGACAGGTCAGGACTCACACATCATCACTACAACTATGCAGCGGGACAGAGCTAGATCCCGCTAGCCATCAACTACTCAGGAGACTACCTATGAGATCCTGGGGTGAGCTGTGATTCCTATCCAGGAATGTGAATTACGCATCTTCTTTATTCTAATTTTGACATGGTCAGTGCAGTTGAGTCAGTACTTCTCCTCACTTTTCCCAGCAAGCTCCTCCTCCTTGGAGTGCAGCATACAACTGCTCAGACCCAACACAACCATCATGCACTACAGCCAGCACAACTGGCTGTGCCCTGCTGACACCTCAGCCAGTCTCTCTCCCAGGAAGGGCCATGTGACTTCCCAGCCAGATGTGCCCCCTGCTTTCAAACCACCCTTCAGAACCCACCACTGGAGGTGCCGGAGGGAAGGGGACCCCTGGGCCTGAAAACACCCTGGAGAGGCAGTGACGTCGAGGGGAAGCCCAGTCTTATCTCAAAGAGAGGACACTCTACATGCACTTCCATAAACACACTGAAAAAACAGGTAACAGTCCTTTCTCTAAGTCAGACCCCAGAGCTTACAAAATGCAATGTCTCAGTTTGGGGCAGGAAGTGATTTCCCGTGAATTTAAATAACTTTCCTTAGTGAACTTCAGATCACCGTCAGACCTCCAATGCAGGCCTGATTCTAGGCGCCATACTGCAGTGAGAGCGGCACACGCTGCTCTTCCCTGGCAGTGCAGGAGAAGCCTGTCTTTAGGAAGTGAACAGAGACAGAAACGTGACAAGGGGCTTGCTCTCTCCTGAATGTCTCTCCAACAGCTTCTGGAAGAGGACGGCTGATGGGAGGACAGGCTGGAGCAGGTCACTGGGCTCAGCTCAGCCGGCTGCTGCTTCATTGGCTGAGCCACCCAGCGTGGGGCTTCCTGTTAATACCCGGCAGAAGGCTGCTTGCCTGGGAGGCCCGGCCTGGCCCCTCCACACACCACCTGCACCTCCAGCACTGCCTCCTTCCTCTCAGTCTCTCTCCCGAAGATCTGGTCACACCACCGTAAGGACATCAGCCCTCGGGGACTGTCACCACACTGCCATGTGAGAGCACAGACTTCGTCAGAAACAGAAGCGACAGAGGAGACACAGTGTGAGTTGACAGATTATCCTCCATGGAAAGCCTGAAAGAGAGCTGTGCTTGCTGTACGGATATCAGAGGAACTGCCCTTGGCAGCCCACAAGACCATTCCTGGAAGTGAACATCCATGGGGACAGAAAGGCCAGGAAAAGGCCCTCTCCTGTCTCTCCTCTCACACGAGGGCGCCCCGCTACTTGGCCTTCACTACCTGTTCGTACGGGGGCGGAGGCGTGTTGCAGTAGGCAGGAGGGGGCGGGCAGGCCACACTTCCCTGGGGTGAGTTGGGTGGGACCTGGAAAGCCATTGCCATGGAATTCCCGACAGGGTTCATCCCTGGTCCTCCTGGGTCGGTGTAATAGGGTGGCCCCGGCTGCTGGGCTCCTGAAAGACAGACGAACATAGTTGAGGACAGAAGACATCCCGAGTACGTGCAGGCTGCAGGGCCAGCAGATCACGCCCCGTCATTCACTCAGTGACAGTGTATGAGGGACCCAACTTGCCTGGTAAGGGGGCACCTGGGGTGTGGTGACAAGCAACAGGACAGGCAGGCCCTGCCCTCTTGGAACTTGGATTCTACTGGACTGCATTCCACATTACCAGTTCACACATCGGAGGGGAGGAAACTGGGCCACGGTAAGATAAGGTGTCTGCGGCAAACCATGGAAGAGCTGCAGAGACCACCCAGGCTTTGCGACTCAGCCTGGCATTATCACGGCAGCTCCACAACCCCTCTGGGCACAGAGTTTGCTGGTGACCATTTCTGAAGTAAGGTCTCCATTCCTGCCTGCTGGGCTGGCCTGTCCTGGCATGAGTTACAGGCAGGGAGGCGGTGTGCCTGGGCACACGTGGCCGGGCTGTGGCTGATGGACGCTCCACGGATCAGGAATGGAGCTGTGGGCTGACTCCCTAGTGACAGGTGGAGGCACACGGTGTGGGGCTGCCAGGAAAGGTTATGGGAGGGCACAGGCTGGCCACCCAACCCCAAATCTAGCCCTGACTGTGAGGTGCTATTTTAGGCCTGGTTACTGAAGATTAGGCAGATTAACACTGGAGAATACGGTATATGTAAATAAAGAGAAGAAACTACGAGTGCTGGGTGTATCCTGGGTAAAGCTGATTTTGTGATAGAACTCAGGTGTATTTGAAGTGAGGCTTTGTGTAGCTCAGGGAGACACTCAAAGGTCAAGGAAGCTGGCCCTGTGTGAATATTGTGTAGGGTTTTGTTTTTTGTTGCAAATCTCCCCCTGACACAGTTTGATAAAGTTCTGACTCTAGAAACATGCCCATCAAGGTGCATAAGATGTCCCAAACCTCCAAAACCCACATAAGTCAGACCATGAAAATCTGGGTATGTGCTGAAGGAGAGAATGTGGAACAGAAGCACAGGCCAGACCTGCACTGTCCCTCACCGAGCGCTCTCACCTGCCAGGAGGGCACTGGGCACAGACGCCGCCCTGGTGCATCTCACGCACTGCCTGAGCTGTGTTCTGTTTAGAAGTCGATCTACTGCCATTACCATGAGTCTCCCAAGGGCAGTGATTATGTTTTATTTAGATCCTGCTATATGTTATACAATTAAAAAGCCAAGGATTTTTAAAAAGAGGTCATCGCCATAGTCTAGGCAAGACACAACGAAGGCCTCTCAATATCATAGAGAAAATGGAGCGGAGGGAATGAAGCACTGAGGCTGTCAGCAGTGACTGGCCTGGGACTGACTCGGTGGGGAGCATGTGGGGAGGGAGACAAGGGCTGAGAAGAAAAGGCCCTGGCCTCTGGTCTCAATAAGGGCCTCCCAACAGGCAGGGGAATACCAGACAAGGGCGGAGCAGACGGCAAAGTCCATGAAGGGCTGGAGAGCAGAGGCAGCTCTGGAGCCTCCTCTAGAAGGTGGTGGTGGAAACGTGGGCATGCCCAGGGGAAGGCTTCAGGGAGGAGCAGCACGGAGGCCCGGAGGAACAGCATGGAGGCCAGGAGGGGAGCACAGAGCATCTAAGGCTGATGACAAGGATGCACAGGCAACAGGAAGACGCAGCAGATGGCGGCACACTGGGAGCCAGGACAGCAAGGGGTGGGAGAATTTTCAGGAAGAAGAGAGGTCAAAATAGGCATGGCCATTTCCAGTGGCTGTGGCCTTGGAGTTCCCATGCTCCTCCTCTGCAGTTACACACCATGGTGGACACAGGTCCTTGCTGCAGTGGGGACAAACGGTCCGGGCTGGGAGTGAAGACAGAGGAGGGACAGCTGGCAGCTGGAAGACACTCAGGGCAAGGGAAGGTGTCTTTGTAAGGACGGAAATGCTTGTGAATATGGGCAGTGGTGGGGAGAGACACCCAGGACAGAGAGGACTTCCGGGGAGCACAGCTCGGGGAGGGCAGGGGCTTCTAGTGCAGCGCTGGGAGCCTACTAACTAGCTGGAAGCTGGGGAACAGTGGACGGAGTGCGCAGGGCCGTGTGGGGTATGGCCCTGCGAAGCAGAGCAGGAGACTTGGCCTCCACGGGGTTCGGTGGAGGGGCAGGGCGCATGTGGCCAGCAGCCTCCACTGCCAGTGGAAGGAGGTCCAAGTGATTGGTTTGCTGACAGGGATGTGGGAAAGGGTAACAGGAGAGCTGATTAGGGAGATTCCAAAAGCCTCAAGGATGAAAGGAGCAGTGTGTGACAGTCACCGCTGGAAGCCAAAATAGTGATGAGGAGAGACAGGCCCACTGGTGCAGGATTCAGTGGGGACGATCTGCACAGGGGTGACAGTCAGGAGCAAGGGGACTCCACCGCCCCTCCCCCCCGCACAGGGTGTGCCCTGGGAGGAGCCCTTCAGTTCTGGTTTGCGGTTGACAGTTCAGTTAAACAAAATACCCAGAGCATTTAGGAAGAGGCTGGGGTTGCAGGAAGACTTTCTCCGGAAGATGAGGTAGAAAGAGTCAGGAGAGGTGACTAAAACCACGATAGCCCCATGGCTGCCCCTCAATGTCACCAGTGTCCGACAGGCCAGCCTGGGCCTGTGTGCAAGGTGGGAAACGGCGCAGGACAGGGGAGAGGCAGGAGAACAGAGGCTCTGCAGGAAAGAATGCCTCACCAAGGTCACACTGCCACTACAGCAGCACCAGGACTTGAACCCAGCAGTGAACCAGAAAGTCAGACTCTCCCTATGATGGCACGTGTCTCTCACACAGGACGGTGAAGTGGGGGAAGGATTTCAGGCAAGGATGGGCTGGGAGAGCCACAGGACACTGGGGGCGTCATGGCCCCTGGGTGGAGCGCCGTCTAAGAATTAAGGGGCACCAGAGCCAGCCTCCCAGACAGGCTGTACTCGCACCCGCGGCAGGTCACCTGTCTCTGGACAGTGCTGGAGTCGTTTTATTCCTAACGCCATCATCTCTCCCTCACTGGGAGTCTTGCATGGTCTGAAAGGGAGCTACAGACTCAGCAAAGACTGGGAGGGCACAGTGTGATGGTAACAGAGACCACTCCTTCTCAGTGAGCTGGCCAGGCAGCCTGCGTTCTTAGCAGGACCTGCCAGCTCTCTGGCCCAGCTGACTGGTCAGTGGCCTATTGGAGGGGCTGAGCCAGTCTTTCCTGGGGATGTAGGAGAGTCCGGTGGGCTGCAGAGGGATAGGTGGAAATGCAGGGAGAGGGAGAGGTGGCAGACAGAGTGTGTGGCCCAGGAGGGACAGAGGCCAGGGGCCCAGGGGCCTGACTCCTGAAAGCGCTCCTGTTCCACCAAGGTTTTGCATCATTATAGTCAGCCCCTCCCAACCCAGGGCACGTGGGTCTCTGCTCTCTCCTCTCCAGCCACGCCCTGGCTTCCCCACTCTGTCTCTAGCCCAGCTGCTCCTCCAGCTGTGGGAAGGGGTCTCAACACAGGGCAACAGGGGCAGAGCTTGTCCCTGCCAACCAGGCTGCAGCCTGCTCGGCCCTACACTCCCCACCCCAACTCATGGGACGGCAAGCTCTCCCAAGGGACTGGGCAGGCTCTGGGGGGCCTCCTGCCCACTTCAGAGCCTCGAGTCTCACTGTCTGCCCTAATCTCCATCCCCCAGCAGCAACCACAGTGCCTGGATCCAGCCTGCCCTCCCTGGGCCCTCACTAGATGACATCTCCCGGGCTTTCACCGCCTAGACCACGTACCCTGGAATGCCTGTGTCCACCTCATGCCAGGCTCCTCCCAGCCTCTGGTCTGGCTAATTCCCATGTATCTTTTAGTCTCAGCTCAGAATCACCAGGCAGACCCCTCTTGCTGGCTGTCACTGCCTTCCCGCTGAGAAGGCACCCCTGTCCTCTAGCACCCAGAACAAGGCAGGCCTGTGGGTGTGCAGCCCTTGCCCAGTGTGGTATGATTTTCTGAGCCTTCTGAATATAAGGACAGAACATCACTCATCCTGGTGCCCTGAGAGCCCAGAATGCACCTGGCATGTGGCAGACGTTCCATAAATACATGGAAGGAGTGACTGAAGTGGAGGCGAGTGGCAGCTTGGATCTGGGCTTTGACTGCCAGATCGTGCTGGGTGCACAGGGGTTTCCTCAGACGCACCTGTTTCTGATATGATAGGCGTGACTGGCTTCCCTGCCCAGCAAGCCCGTGCCAAGCCTGTGGCTCCTGTTGAGGGGAAGACCCCAAATCCCTGCTGCAGGTGAGGGAGGGGAGGGGCAGGAGTGTGGTCTTTGCAGCAAAGAGGCAGCCAGGCTATGTTTAGAATGTGGCTACTCACGCTGCAGAACCAGAAACGCCAGCCCCTGCACCCACTCGAACTGGTGTTTTCATGTTCATAGCCACAATGATGGATCCTGCTGGGAATTGGTGGGACAGGACTGAAATATTTGAACATGGAGATGGAGAGGCATTTGGAATATAAAAAAGAATGAAGAGGAGGGGGATAAACTGTGTACTTGTCAAGAACATGAACCTTTAGGTGACCACGCTGGAGAGGCTGCGGTTGAGGCTAAAGGGCAGTGGAGCCAGAGGCTGGAGCCTCGTGAGCAGCTGAGGGCCCCAGCCACATGGAGGCAGCCAGGCAGGGCGAAGCCAGCATGGCTGGGGAAGCGGCACGCAGAGGGCACGCCCACCCAGACAGCTGCTGGGTTTCTGCTCATTTGGCTACAACTCTTCGCAGGACGCTGGCCATGTTTACCATTCAGACTCCCACAAAGAGGAGCCACTGAGGGAAGGTGGACCCAGTTCTCACAGACGCAGAGACTCATTTAGGAAAGAGAAAGCAAGGACACTTCATGCCGTGCATGTCACTGGCAAACAGAAGGCCGGCAGGGCCCGGAATGTGCCCACAGACCTCAGAGACTGCAGTAAAGACGTTCCCAGAAACGCAGAGATGATTCCATGGCACATGGCAGCTCTCTTCTTCCTCACTTCCCCAAAAGGCAGCAGCAGGAG